TAAATTAACAAAATCGTGTAGATCACCGACAGATTACCGGAAATACGAAGAAGCCGTTGAAATTGAGGAATTTAGCGATGCCGATAGCAATAATGATAAGAAAAAACGGTGGTCGTTTGATTTTTTTCGAAGTCTAACGAAAAAATTAGGTGATATTTTTAGGAATATCGAATCGGAGACGGATACTTTAACAGAACCAGTTATTTATATCGATGGGGTTCGTTTTAGAGTTCCCCCTAATATCCAAAAAGAATAAGCATGGAAAATTAAATTGTTTAAATGTTTTTTTTTTGAGCAGCAGATTTAAAATGATGTATAGAATTGTTAAGTTTTTGGGAATAAAAGTTAATGTGAATGGAAAATAAATTTGTTTTTTATGTTATTTTAACATTTATTTTCTTTTTAAACAAGATTAAAATAAAATACATTTGTTTAAATTGAAGATCCTGGTTGCTAGGATAAAAAAGTAAGAGGTTAAAGCTTGTAAAGTAAAAAATAAAAACTTCTAGAATGTCATGACTTTATTAAAGTAACTTGGTATATTTGATTAAGTGAACTCAAACTAATCGAGAGAAAATTCTCTACTAGAACACCTTCTCCGAGGTAATTTTCTCATCGTGCATGATGGCTTCCTATATCGGTGTGACAAAGCTCGAACGGTTCGGGAATCCCACAGACGTGAATGAACGTGTTTAGCTTTGTGCATTTATTATTGTGTGAAATATGGCGTGGCAGATGCAGGAATAATGGACGGTAACAACAAAGTTGAACAAGAGTCTACTTCACGCACTCAATTTGCCATTGTTGAAAATAATCACTGGCTATCATTTTTGAAACATTTGAGACCATCTTGCAAAATGCCTACACGTTATTTATTATCAAATAAATTACTGGACTCTGAGCATGAAAAAGTGGACGTAGACATTAAAATGAAAGTTGGAGAAACGAATCTAGCTTACAGTGTGATGGTTGGAGCAACCAAAGGAATGAATCCATACTTAATTTCATTGTTACTACACTAACGTAGTACAAAAATTTGCCAACAAATATTTGTCGACATAGTGCAGAATATATTGCTGAAAAAATCGATGAAATTTTGAAAGAAATTGGTCCTGAAAAATTCTTTGCTATAGTAACCGACATTGCCAGTGCAATGGTTAAAGCAAGAAATATACTTCATGAAAAGTACAAACATATTGCTGTTTAGGAATGCATTGCTCATACGCTAAATTTGATAATTGGAGACATTTCAAAAATGACTACTATTAGCTGCCATCAAAAAAATTTACAATTCCCACACTTTATTGGCTACTTTCAAAAATGTGCAAACTGAAAGAAATGACACCAAAGTCATTTCCTTAAAATTACCTGTGAAAACACGATGGGGATCAATTATTTGCAGTTTAAAAAGTCTTTTTGATACAAAATATGCATTAAAAACTTTAGCCCGAACATATAGGGGGAGTTCAGGTCTTCCATCCGTCATCTTCCATTTAACCTAACAGAAAGCCCTCCGTCACCCACCCATCACTCAACACTTCAATGCTCTGTTAAATCGGTTCAGGGTTAGTCCAATTAGGAGGACTACCGAGGTAAATTGCTTAAACCCAAAAGGTACATGACCATATTTCCTTAGGCCGAAAATTAAACGGATGCACGAGTTTTGAAGCTTTTGAATTCTTTTTTGGGTGCCAGTTAAGACTATAACGATTAGAGTAAATCAATCGTAGTGAGCCAATTAACTAAAGCTTAACGCATCATCCATGAATGGAATAGGAGTATTTCCTATCGACAAGTGATAAAACCCATCAATAAATTTCTCTTTTAACTTCGGGGGCCCAAACAGAATGATCTGGGTTTTATTAGCGTTTATATTTAAGCAATATTTCCGAGCCCCATCGATAATGTCATGCAAGGCACGTTTAAACTTATTAAAACTTTCATGAAAGTGGCCTTCAGAAAAGGACAAATCTGAGTATCATCAGTGTATATCAATCTATTGATATTTATCGTTTAAATTTTAAATAGTGTAGGGCCAAGAATCGATCCCTGCGGTACCCCAGACCTTATCTCCAAAGCACTCGACTTTACCTGCTCAATACTGACCGATAGAATCCTGCCTTTAGGGTAATTTTTAAATTTTTGGTAATGAGACAGAATCAAGCCCGATATGGTCAATAATTGATATTAACAAGTCTATATACATATATATATATATATATATATATATACTCAGTAAATTAGGTGCAAAGTTGATATTGGATGAGGATATTTTTTGGGTAAAAGTTTCAAAATTTTATCACCTAATAAATTCTATTGGTTTAAATACATAATCTAACTGGAAGAAGATAAATCAAGGTTGAGCCAAGTAGCTGAATACTTTTATCAGCTGGAAAGTCATTTTGAAACAGAAAAACTTTTTAGTTAACAGAAAGCAAATGGGAATACAATCCATCTTGCTACAAATATTCTAGATCAAAATTTTAATGGAATTCATCTTAATAGAGAAGAACAAATACAAGGAACAGAGTCTATAGACAATATGACTACTGTAACAAGCCCAGATGAGTTTGCAGATGATTAGCCCTTTATCGACCTAAAGAATTGTTATTTGGAACACCATATGTTTTAAAATCTGTGGAAAAACTGCATCCCGTTGTATGGTGGAAGGGAACTTGTTTTGGGTCGGCAGTAAGTAAAGTAGCGGTCAAGATACTAAGTATGCCTGTGTCGAATGCAGCAACAAAAAGAATCTTCAGCACCTACAACTTTCTTCACACTGCGAAAAGAAATTGGCTTACAGCTGAATGAGCTGGTATTGAACCTTGATTGCTCATAATTTAAAATTATTAGATTCATGACCAGTGAAAAGCATCTGGAAACATCCATAAGTTCTGTCACCAATGTGGAGGTTAATGAAGACAATGATATTGAAGTGATTGAATTGCAGTGATTTGGAAACTTTGTCAGAGCTGTGTGGCAAGACAATAATGTACATTCTCCTTTTTTTTTTCGAGAATTTTTCATCTCTATGCTGGCTTGGGTTAATCTTATTCTTAACTAGTGATGGAACAGATAGTGATTTTGCGAAAAGCCGGATACTGGATATTCGGCATCCCCTTCGGCCGGATTCTGAAGTGGTAACCCAACCCTATATTGCCTCATAATTGCAATATTTGAATAAAAATTAAATTAATAAGAAAGCTGATAAGATAAGTCAACTTATTTGGAAGCAACTATAAAAAGAGGATACTTTATTTCATAATTGGCGATATTTCCACAAAGATCCTTCACGAAATTAATTTTATAGCAAAATTTGAAAATTATCGATGAAAATTGCAACATCGAAAATTTTATCAAAACTTCAAATATTGTTTTCTCAAAAACTAAAAGTTATTTTTCAAAACGTCTTAGTTCATTGGAAAGAGGATACTTTAATTAATAATTGGTGATATTTCCACAAGGATCCTTCAAGAAATGAATTTTATAGCGAAATTTGAAAGTTATACAGGGTGTTTCGGTAACTCGGGGAATAAATTTAACCACATATACTAGAGTGAAAATGATGACGATTGAACATCCTTTAGTATTTTTTATTACTTGTCTTGTTATTTTATGTACTTTTTTTATTATTCCTGTTAGTGTTGTTGGTTTTTGGTTATTTTTTGTTGATTTTTAATTTATTTGTATTTGGATTCTTTTATTAAAACAAATTAAAAATGTGATTTAGCTAAATCTACACTTGGACATGTTGCATACATAATAGTTATGACAGCTCAGTTCGATTTTCACTTGTCATTGCTAATTCAAATTATTTATTTATTTATTTTTTTTAGTGTTATTGAATTCGGAGCCTAACATTTTTGCATTTAATACGGAAACGGTGGTTTTTATCAATATTCTCTAAGAGTGATAAAAGTTTCTAAACTAAATTTACTATTAGAAAATGCAAAAATAAATGTAGGGTAATGATAGGATAAAAAAGTTCTGAGCAAACAAACTTTATGAACAGCCTGTATAGCATTGTTCCCGGGTACCGATCTAACTCAAAAATTGCCTAATGATTTTACGTGATGTTAGTTTACGCTGTACCAAATTTCAACGCTTTACCATAAATAGTGTTTAAGATATTTTGAAAAATGTGTTAAAATTTCATAACTTTGATGGCCTGTATGTTTGCAATTTGAGGACTTTTACTAATTTTTTTTACATGAATCGTCATCATTTTCACTCTAGTATATGTGGTTACATTTGTTCCCCGAGTCACCGAAACACCCTGTATAACGATGAAAATTATTGCATCGTTACCAGACTTAAACACTCTATGACATGAGCTATTTTCCAAACCGCTGAGAAAACACAGGATTTATTAAACAAAATCGTAAGCGGATGTGTGAGTTATAAATAACAATTTTTTATTAATATAGCAGGAATTTCACCGCTTTCAGTGTCTAACCAACCTTCGCACTATCGACACGCAAGATTCAGCAGCGACAATACTACCAACCATGCATGCAGTAAAAACAGATCCAAATTAGTTTGTAATCAAATATCATCGATTGTAGCAACGAAGAATCTTTACCGCCGGAATTCTGCTCACCTAAATTTGCCTGCCTGCCTTTCCTATGTTTAAGAAAAGACCAAACATTTTTTAGATTACGTGCAATATTAGACTCTGTACAATTAGCATCTCGCGAACATTTTTAGCAAATGTGCAACTTGTCTTGTATGTGCCGCGCAAACATTCTTTGGTATGTCCAAATTTGCGTGCATCAGATTTGTCTTACAACAGCCTAAAGTATAACTATAAAGTCTCTTGCAACTTATTCTTTAAATTTATAAATCCAAAATCTAATACAAATTTGATCGAAAATAAAGTCATGACATTCTTAGAGATTTTCATTAAATTCTATTAGAAACTCAACTAAATCATCTAATAAATTCATCTCAAAAATCGTCTAAACAAAATATTTAAAATCTAATAATTTTTTTTATTACAGTTGTTCCCCAATTTATGGTACAAGGTGGTGATATAATAAACTGTGATGGAACGGGAGGTGAGAGTATTTATGGACCTTCTTTTGAAGATGAAAATTTTACGATTATGGTAATAAATAATTTTATATAATAATTATTCTTAATATTACTTTATTTGAACAAAATAGCATGACAATAAAGGTACAGTAGGAATGGCGAATCAAGGACCAAACACAAACGGCAGCCAATTTTATATAACAACTGTTCCTTGCCACCATTTGGATGGTTTAAATGTAGCTATAGGTAGGGTGAAAAAAGGTTTAGGAATCGTGGAGGAAATGCAACAACTTCCCAGAGAAAATGAAGTTCCCTTAAAAGTAACATTTTTGTATTAATAAGGTTATCATTAACATTTAATTTAATTTGTTATTCAGAAATGTATGATTGTGGATTGTGGTGTAATAAAAAATGGCGAACCTTTAAATATAGAAGAGAATGATGGTACTGAAGACGTTTACCCTCCATATCCAGAAGATTGGGATGTCGAATCAAAAGATGTAGATAAAGAATATAAAAACGCGGTGAATCACATAAAGAATTCCGGAAACGCTTATTATTACAAATGTGATTATGTCCATTCAGAAAGAAAATATAAAAAATCTTTAAGGTATCTCGAAGCGTGGTTAAAACGACATAAAAAGCAAAATCATCCAAAAGTAACCGAATTAAAATCGATTTTATTAATAAATATAGCTGCAGTTTTATTAAAGAAAAAAGAATACAGAGAAACGATTAAAATCTGTACGCAAGTTTTATCTATCGATCCAAAAAATGTTAAAGCTCTGATGAGGAGAGGCTGTGCTAAGTTGGGAATAAAAGACTATAATGATGCGATTAGAGATTTTCGACATATTCTCGCTCTAGACCCAAAAAATAAAACTGCTCTTGTTAATTTCCAAGTGGCGAAACAATGTATGTTGGATTATACCAAGAGGGAACAGGAATTATTCTCAAAAATGTTTTAAAAAATCCCAATTTTATGTTTTAACTTGTAAATACAAAATGAATATGTACTTTAAAATCTAGTTTATTATATACCCTAATTATAAACAATAAAAGGTAAAACAAAAAAAAATATTTGCATATGAATGATTGTTTATTGAAATAAATCAAGCGTATAACAATGCAGAACTAGTGTGTGTAAAAACATTTGAAAATGTACCCGAATCTTAATCAGACTGTCACGTTAATTTCTTGTCTTTTTATTTTTGTACAAATTTTTTTAAATAATTAAAGGAGAAAGTTTGGGTGACACTTTCAACAAAGCTACCATCAAAAGCACAATCAAAAACCCCTCTTTCAAAAACTCAACGGCAGTGTGCATAGTTCTAAGTTATAATTTGACTATCAACATTACTTTATATTATATTTTTTTTAAGATAACCAAATTATGACTTTCTCTTTTCGTTTGGTGGAGTTTAATGAAACACTAACACGAATAAATATTCTTATCTAATTTCTTTTAAGGCAAGTAAAGCTTTCGTTAAATAAAAGAAATGATCAAAAAATCAAAAGATTTTCATCCGTTATTATCTATTAATAAATATTATCTAATCTATTTTCTAAAAAAAAAAAAAATAACTTTAAAAGTGAGAAAAATAACGAACGTTTTTTTAAACTAATTGTAACAAAAACTAAAATAATATCACAAACGAGACTCATTTTTTTTTTTTTTTTTTTGTTAAAAGTAAAAATGTTCTTTTTTTAACTTTCTTCTAAAACCTCTACGCAATCTCCTACCATTTCCTCTTTAAGATCTTTACCTGCATCCGCTTCATGCCCAACGAGACAATCGGGATTTGTTTCGCTGACAGTTTTAATTACACCATCAACTAACGTTCCAGCGAATTGTTTTAACTCTTGGTTAACTTCTTTACGTGATTTCATTGCTATAGGTAATGGCAAAGATGATGGTCTTGTTTGTTTTTGAAACGGAAATAATTTCCCACCATCACCCTATCAAAATAATTATTTATAAATTACAATCTTCAGATACATGGTTAAACCGGAATGATTCTAGGTCTAGTGTTAGTTCTAGTTTTAACCCGTTTTTGCCCGGGTTTTCTTATTTCGAGTATAAAGGTTCTTTTACATAATTTGAATGATTTTTATGCATAAGATGTCTCATTATATGTAAAAAAAAATGTGATATACAGGGTGATTTATTAGCACACCATCAAACTTTGACATATGATAGCTAATGCAATTACCAAAAAAAAATTATTCAATTATTTACGAAATTATAACACTTTAAAGTTTTCTGCAGCGAATTTATGTTATAGTCAGTAAAATCAAACATTCACAAAAACAAAGTCGTCATTGTAGTATGTCAGTTTGCTGTAAGGTTTAATTATTACATACAAGAAGAATCTCAAAATGTAGGCTTATAGCACTGAAGAGTATGCTGATATAATTTTCGTGTATGGTTTTTGCAATGGAAATGCTCGACGAGAATATCAAGAAAGATTTCCACAGCGTCATTTGCCATATTCAGTTTTTAGCGATTCTTTCAGAAGACATCGAGAAACAGGTAATCCTGCTCCAGCAAAAGCTATTCGACCGCATGTAGTTAATGTAGAGGACGAAGAAGCTGTAATTGATAATCCTTCCATCAGCACTCGAAGAATAGCACACAACATACATGTAAGTCAAAATTTTGCATGGCGCGGTTAACAGAATGTTCAAGCTCTACAGCCAGGAGATAATCAGCAATGGTTAGTATTTTGTGAATGGTTATTGCAGCAACACGCCTAAAATAATGACTTAATTTCAAATGTTTTCTAGACAGATGAATTATGTTTTACACGAGATGGTATAAATAATTACCATAATGAACATATCTGGGCATTATAAAATCTGACAAAAAAAAACACATAAATATTACAATATTTGTAATATTTATGTGTTTTAAAAAAAATGTTGCAGTTAATTATGATATAAAAATGAAAACATTAAAGTGTTATAATTTCGTCAATAATTGAAATAGGGCATATGTTCATTAATATTTTTTTTTGTTAATTCGATTAGTTATCATATGTCAAAGTTTGCTGGCGAGCTAATTAATCACCCTGTATAATTTTCGTTAATTTTTGATGTTCCAATTTTGGAACACTGGGAGTGAAAGGGTGCAGTGTCTAAATACTTAATAAACAATAAAATAAAAATTAAAGTAACGATATATTAATTTTCGTTGACATGATAACTCTTAAAACAATGATCATGAAGGTTTACAACACATTTTCGTAGCGTTTTTGTGGCAGTGTACGCAACGGTTTTGTTTTTGGGCCGGCATTATCCAATGATTTAGGCAATCATATCGAATTTGGGCATGGATTCTGTTCGCCAGTGGTTTTGAAGTCTTTGGATGTTCTCCGTTAGCTGCCGGTTGACCATACTTTTTTAAATAAACTTGAACAACTTTTTGTCTGAATTTCAAAAAAATCACCTTTTTCGTTTCCTGCTTGTATACGATAAATTTGCCAAGAATTGTAGAGGCATGTATCTAAGCAGAAGGCAAACAAGGTCCACCACCATTTTTTTGACCGAACGCTGATTCTATAGTTTTCAATGTTTTGATCCATTCTATCAACTCCCCTCATATTTTTGTTGAAATGAGCAATAACATGAGGTTGAGAAACATGTCCCTTCTTTTTTTGGCTTGGTATCCATCTATTTATTTGTTCGATTGGGTTGACTGTGTCACAGGAACTTACAGTGCTGTTATCATTCCAAGCTGTCACAATTATGTTTGTAGTTTTATCCGTTAGGTACTCATACGTGCCCCTTGGTGTCTTTTTTAAAATTTTGCTGGGAGTCATAGGGCATTTCTCATTCCTGTTAGGATTGATGGTTCCGGTGTATCCATACCCTAAAGTTTGAAGATAATTCACCAGTTTCAAAGATTTTAAAATATCTATCAGAGTAAATTTTAAAGGACACGTGTTTTTGAAGTTTTGACATCAATGAGACAACAGTAGAACCGCCAACACCCAGTTGTTCAATGTGCGGTACGTTCTCTTGTTTTCCCTGATATGGTTCAAATTGAATCAGGTATCCTAATGGATAGGATCAGGTATCCTAACAAGCTCCATATCTTGTACCCATATCTAATCGGTTTACCTTTGATGAACTATTTGGCTCCATGTCAACCAAAATAAGGAACCATGCATTCGTCAATGCTCAGTTTTTCATTTAGGACTGCATATGCTAAGCAACGTTTGTTAAGCATGTCAAAAAGAGGACGCAATTTTGCAAATTTATCAGCTTTAGGCAGATTAGTGTACATACTTCTTTATAACGTCAAACCTGTTTCTTCTCATTGCATTTGTGACCATTGGATTGTATGTATCACTGTCAGTCTCCCACAGCATACGCCATCGAGGAACTTGAAGATGTCCTGACAAGAACAAAATGGCAACGAAGCATTTAATTTCACCAGTATCAATCTCAAAACTATGGTCACCATGTTGCTGAGCATAGAGTACAAACATATCGTTCGAGAAAGTGCATATTTCTTCATCTAAAACTTTCAAAACAGGAAATAGCATCGGTAAAGTTGTATGTATGAGATTGGCTTGGTGAAACAAATCGCGGCAAAGTTGGAGTCAAATCACATTTCGCCCAATTTCTTTTATGCGGATGACTATAATTTGTGTTGACTAAACAAGAAAGATGTAAATTGTCTTCGTCACTAGAATTTTCTGTGTCTTCGGCGAGGTTTTATCGATTGTCTAAATTTTGCAGTCGCGGAAGGAAATTCTTCATCATCACTATCTTCCTCAGAGTTTCTTCCATCATTAGGTGGAGTAACATAAATGTCTGCTTCCCAAAACTCATCACTTTCCACCAAATCAATAAGCTCTTTGGTAGAATAGTACCTAGAAAAAGTGTGTACCCAATCACTCCGAAATTGCAACATTCGAAAATAACGGTAAATTACCATAATAAACGCACGCAAATTTGGCAAGATCTTTTATAGCAAACATTCAACAGACAATATAGTATGTTTTAGTACAAAAACAATTTTATTTGAAATTATTTAGAGTAAATTACAAAAAAATACTTACTTCTTTGCAGCCATTTTTACACTATAAACACCAGCACAGTAAACTCTGTGAGATTTGCAAACGAGTGAATTCTAACAATGTAGTACACTTTCCAATAACGTATGAGACTATGGCGGACAAGATGAAACCTGCAGAATGCAAAATACCGCGAAAATACGGAAGTGGTGGGGTAAAACCGTCGCTGTTCCAATATTGGAACACTGGGCAAAAACGGGTTAATTATTATTCAGCGTTATTATTATTATTGCTGCCAAGCTGAGGGTCGTCACTGCGACCTATAAGATCTATTGCAACCTAAGCCCTCAAAAAATTTGGGGCAAATGTAGGTCCTTCATGAACCTTGGTATTGCTCCAAGGGCTTGTTCCTTTATGTCGGATTACGTACATTACCGAAAATGTTATGTCTTAGGTGGCATCTGGCGACGCATTCACACAGTATAGGTAGGGTGGACCATAAATCCATGAACAAAAATCATTTTTTTTCGGTATTATCTATGGAACACGATTTCATTCATGTGGTTGCCTTGGTTGGCTTCGCAGTAGTGCATCCTGTTAACTCAGTTTTCCATGACCTTGGTCACGGTTTTGTGGCTCTATCTAGGAGATATTCACCTTAAAGGCTTGAATCGTTAATGGATTGGTCGCATAACATCGGTCCTTCATGGCACCCCACAAAAAAAGTCTAACGGCGTCAAATCGCAGCTTCGAGGTGGACAATTGATATCGCCGAGACGAGTGATAACATGATTATTGAACTTGGCGCGCAAAAGATCGATTGTGGCATGGTGCTCCATCCTGCTGAAATCAAAGATCGTCTAAGTCCATGTCTTCAATTTCCTGCCACAAAAAATCGTTTATTATGCGTCTGTAGCGCTCACCGTTGACCGAAATGGCGTTTCCAGCAGCATTTTCAAAGAAAAATGGGTCAATGATGCCACCGCTCCAAAATCCGCACCAAACTCTGTCACTCTGAGGATGCATTGGCTTGTTGACGATTTTGTGCAGGTTTTCCGAACCCCAGATGAGGCAGGTTTGGTTGTTAACATAACCGCCGGATTGAAAATGTGCTTAATGCTTCAATAAACGCAGTGTTTGGGTTACACAACAATGACTTTGGAAATAAGTTTGCAATATTTCCCAACGTTGTTCAAGCGTAAAGCGATTCATTTCGTTCCGCGGAGATATGAAGTTGATAAGTTTGATCCTCAGCATGTCCAATGTTAAAGAGATGGTATTTTAGGGGCGCAGGTCGGTCAAAAAGCCTGAGAGCGACCTTAGATCCTCTTCCTGAAGCATATATGATTAGTTGTTGTTTTGCGACGTAGTCATTGCCCTCAATGTCTCTATGACCTTGAACCCACCATAGAGTAACATCATTGCTCCTAGCGAGTTCTCTCAGGTTGCTGGTACAGAGAGTGCAGAGTAACATGTAAAGGCCTGAAATGCCTTTTGGGCGGCTCAACTGTCTGTGAAAACGTTTATGCACCTTTCTATCCCTTTTCTAGGATCAAAACGGTGCTGAAGTTTAAAGAAAGAACTTTAGCTTGAAAAATGGTTATGTCCGAGTTAAACGAAACTAACTTTAACAAACTGAACTAACACTAGAACTAGAAAGTTTCGTGTTTAGCCATGCGTCTGAAGACTCACAGCTAAATACCTTTGGATAATTGTCCAAATGTGCAAATTAAAAATTTTTCATATAACCTATTTTTGAATATTACTTACTTGAGGTGTATGGACTGCTATGATTTCCGTTTGCGTTCCAGCTACAGTTTCCTTTAATTGTTGATTTACATTTGACATTTGACTAAACATAGTCATAAATTTGACTATATCTTGCATTGATCCTTGTAATTGTTGAATCTATGAAACAATTAATTTAGAAATGTAAATAATATTTTAAATAAAATCTACCTGATTTTGCAAAACAGAACATGTTTGAGCTAAATCTTTAACTAACTCTACATTATCTATCTTGCTTGTACCAGGAACAACTGAATTATTTGCCGATTCGTTTTCGGGATTGATTGTAGAAACTTTTTTCCATAACGCGTTAATGGCTTGCATCTGCAACATTTGAATTTTTCTTTCGCTTTCTAAAGCCGCTTTAGTAGATTCCATATCGCTTGCTAATTTCCTAAAAGAAAATAATTTTAACATAAATTTGTTATGTACGATTTAATTTTTTACTGGATGTATTCATCAGCTCTTCTAGCTTGCAAACTTTTATATAAATCTTGAATATCCTTGTCGCAATTTCTAATGTAATACCCCCTCCACATTCTTTGAATAATAACTGCAGCCCTTTCAATTTTATCATCCCCAGAAACAACATTTCCACCGCTTTCAACCTTCAATTTCTTTTCCTCCGCTTTCAATTGAATCGATTGTAACTTTGAATCATAAATTTCCGATTCATCCTCACTACTTGCAGATTTTTTCAACGACGATTTTATGACATCATTCTTCGTTACTTCGTTATTTTGCGTCATTTTTCTTTGTCGATTTGGGCTTGGTGTATTCACCCTTTTATTTTCAGGTGTTAAATTTCGATTTCTCGCAATATTACTTCTAACCGATTTCGGTGATTTCGTTATCGTTGCGGTGCTCTGGACGGATTTCGGCGTTACAGGCCGATTTGTGATGAGCATTGGCATCGACGAAGGAGTACTCAGTCTTCCGATTAATGGCGACGGGCGATAATCAGGGCTCATTAAAGATTCGGGAACGGGAACAAGTTTTGATAAGGCTTGTAAAGGACTACTAATCATTTCATTTTCTGAAACTTAAAAAAAATCGATGAGGGTATTAATTACATTAATTTAATACTTACTATCGAGACATTTTTCTAAAACAACTGATGAAGACATCTCTTTGGTAATCCCATTACATTTACCATTAACAGTTTCGCTTAATAACTTAGGATCAAGACTTTGAGTCATTAAATTTGATGATTCTGTAATTGTCGATGATGAGTAACAACTAGATGACATCCTATCTGGCGATTTATTTCTATTTCCTATCCGAGAAGCTACAATTTTTTTAATTAATTTTTATAATTATTGTTGGGAGTAAAACTACCTGTTTTTGGGGAATACTTTGCACCGTGAAGTCTTTTTCTTGTTAGCGGTGATGGGATTGAGTTAACTTCAGCTATAAAATACTTAAATTAATAACAACAAAAATTGTTCTTAATCTTTATTACATTGCTCTCGAAGCTGTTGTTGATGGTGTTGAGCTTTACTCAAAATTAATCTTAATTTCCGGTCCTCTTCAGTTTCCAATTGTTCACCAGTTAAAGGGCAAGTACTTGCTAAATACTGACTTAATTCATCTTGATCACCAACTCTAAAATGCCTACCTCTACCTTGAGAATAAAGCCATTCACCTCGAAGACTACAAAATTAAGAAAATAATCATTAAAAAATTATGTGATAATTATTGGTTTTTCCTAATTTACACCACAACTTAACCATCTAAGAAGATGTAACCATCGCGAGGAGCGCAGAGAGGGTCAGAGACTTAAACCAGGAACAAGGATGAACGGGGTCAAATGCTACTGGAGTACTTCTACATGAACACTCAGTTCAAGAAACCATCCCAAAGGAAGGCATGGGAAAGCCGAAACAATAAGGTGAAAAATGAGATCGACTACATCCTCACAAGCAGCAAAGACATTTGCACGAATGTTAATGTCCTCAACCGATTTAATACTGGCAGAAAACTGATAAAGCGACAATATCAAGAAAACATCCAGACAAAAAGAGTATGCGAGTGTACCAAATCAAGGAACAATAGATTGAGTGGCAATACGATGTCCCTCATTGAGGAGCGACGTCAAAGAAGTAGAGACGGGGAGGGATACAAAGCTTTCAGTAAGATCATACAGACAGAAATCCAGAAAGATCTAAAAAACCATAACACTTGATTGGTTGTTCAAATAATCGCCGACAATACCAACATGCGAGTCCTATGATCCAAGATGGCTCGAGAATAAACATACATTTCTAAGATGAACAGAGTAGATAAAAAGTAAACGATAAAAGGCGAAACACTGGTTTAAGGAGAACGAGGGACAGAAAAGCACCCAGGGAAGACAAAGTGACAGGCGAAATGCTAGAGATGGGAGGAGACATTGCTCAACCTATTGAACAGATGTCTGCGGGAACAGAGGATTGTTATTCAAAAAATGTGAAAAATTACCAACCGATCAGCCAACTATCCACCTTTGACAAATTGTTATTCTATCAGCCAGTCGAACAGGCGGGTTTTCGAAATTAAGAAGACAACAGAGTACAACATCTCTCTTCGTCTGACCTTAATAGATAATCAAAAGGTGTTCGAGTTCATCGAGATATAGGTAATACTAAAAATAATGGACAAAGACAGAATCTATAACCTTGACCGACACATTTACACCAAGGCAACACTAAGGGTCAAACTGGGCGAGAACATGCTAGTAGAGAAGATCCCGGTTAAGAGAGGTGTTCACCAAAGAGACCCGATATCACCCAAACTATTCACTTTGGTACTGGAGGACATCTTCAAGAAAGTATGAAGATGGACATCAATATCGATGGCACTTGCCTAAATTACCTAAGATTCGCGGAGAACATCGTACTGATAAGCAGCGACCCAGAGAAATTGAAGGATACATTGGAGCAGCTCTATAAAGTATCAGCAGAAGAGGGTATAAGGATAAATCGCGAAAAGACAAAGATCTTGAGTCCGGATACTATCCAGTTTCCGATCGAAAATCATGTTTTAGAACATTAAGCTCACCTTGGTCAGGGTATGAAGCAGGCCAAAGAAAACTAGACCACCGAAATAACAAAAAGTAACGGTTGACATAAGCAGCGTTTGGGAAAGTTAATTTCGTCTTCAAAAACCCAGCTATGCCTATTAACCGAAATCACTGTGCAAACGAAAAAAAGTGCCAATAGGCAAAGAGTTATGGAGACGGCAATCAGCGGACTAAGATCACAGACTTGGTGGCGAAGATTGCTGGACTGTGGCGATGGGTAAGACAAGACAGCATCAAATGGCCGTAAAAGATCGTCCAGTGGACAGGAAATCGGAGTGTGGGAAGACCGCAACGGAGAAATTCGCTACAAATGACGTCAAACAGCGAGAATGAAAATTCATAGACATTCAGGAGTGCATAGAGACGGGCTAAGAAAGAAGAAAGAGAATTCGTAAAAATTCGAAAAATACTCGTTTCAGCTAAGAACAGGAAGGCACGCGTGGAGTGTGCGAAGACGCCCCTCAACTAAACTCGGCAGAGAGGAGAAGGTCCTGTGGACCGACGAGATTCGATCTCAAGTACCTGCTTCCCACGATGAAGCACGGCGAGGGTTCCGTTATGATGTGGGGGTGCTTCAGCGAGGCTAGCACCGACCAACTGATTCGCATTACGGGCACCATGGATCGCCAGAAGTACTGGTACATTCTGCAAGATGACATGCTTCCTTGAGCACGCAAAAACATGGGTTGGGTTGATCGTCGAACAGCTGTGGCACAAAGTTGACGGACATTCGGGCCACTTTCGCCGACGAGAGGCTCCAACAGCTGCAGGCGGAGTAGGCGAAGATCGACCAGACCACTATCGATTCGGATTCTTCTACACAAGTCTATGTCATGTGAAATACATTGCAAAAACTATGGTGAAAAATTGTCTGGTTTCAAAAAAGTTATGTGGGAAAAACCAAATTATCATATACTTTTGAGCGGTACTGTAAATACAAACAGAATTTATAATAAAATTAAATTAATGACAAATCCTCAAGCTCAAAACATAACGTCAGAAAACTCTTTGTGAGACCACAAATAAATCAAAATAATACAATGACTATTGTAGCGGTGCAATAGACGTAGCGTGAATTTGTATTGTAGAGGTAGTTTAAACAAAGGATGACTCGAAAGGTTTAAGTCTGAACATTAAAATGAACATCCCGCAAGACCTTCATGGAATTAAGCAAACCGTAGACCAATATGTATAAGACCATCATATCAGATACATATTTGGGCCTATAAACAATACGAGAGATTACATTTGTGGGCCAAATATCTCAAAAACCTACTTTGTAAAGTCTAATTCATAAACTCAACCAAGTTTGTTTCTACTAACCGTCCACGTAGGAAACCATGCTGTTGATGAATGAACTATAAACATACATTTAATACAATGCTAGATTGCTCACAGATCTGTGAGTTTCTTTGATCAAAAGTTATAGCAACTGGAAGTATACCCATTCTCTGGAAATGATCTTTATTCATATGCTGCACTTTGTAATTATTGCCTCCATCTACTTACTACTCTTGTTGGTGCGAAAGATAAACCTTATTCAAAGTATCCGAACTCAATTCAACAGCAAGAATTAATTCGTCTAAAGTTTTGTAAATCGATTTTTGCTACAATGACTGAATTGCATTAAAAAAGCATATATCTAAGACGTTTGTATCGGGAATATTGGTGGCTGACATAACATTTTGATTTTGAACCCAATTTTATTTGAAGTTTCATTAAACTCAATATCACCAGGAAGAATGTGTGGTCTTGCTAAAATTGTTTGACGACGACCGGATCTTGGCCATTTTGCTTGAATTTCGGGCAACAATTTTTGAATAATTATATTCTTATAACTACTCTTCTCTAGTGACATTAGAAACCACTTTCGTTTCAATGGTCCCAGCTGTCCGATTTTTACTGCTCCGTTTAGCAGGTTCCAAAAACACAAAAAGGCAAAATGCCAAGTTTTCCATCGAAGTTCTTGTTTTCAGAATGATTCCAACGTGGTCAAGCTACAGCGGCTAAGAGCATTACTTTTGTGAGAAAACGCTTACTTTTGCTGGTTCCTCTTTGCCTTCAACTAGGTAGTACTTCTCAGCTGTTTTTGTGAGGTAAATCTATTTCTCGTCTACAAATTCGGTCATACATATCGATGAATTTGGGAGCTTTTGCATTTAACCTTTCTGGTTTAAGCATTGACAGACAATGTTTCAGTCTTTCAATTCTATTGGCGTCTGCGAGGAAAGGCTTGACTGCATTTAAGTGCCGTCGTAATACTCCTGATCAACGAACGAATAGTACCTACGTCGATTATGTAATGGTACTGACTTTATTAGCGCCGTCTCAATCTTTCTCGGTTTTCGAGCAACGCGTCCTTTTTTCCGTGACTTTACATCTGTTACTCATCAGATCTGTTACACCATCGGCTAACGATTTTCGGGCTTGATGCCAAATTCGGCTTACAGTTTTTACAGAAATGTTAAATTTGTTCGCTGTCATCTTAATTGAGCCTTGTTTCAGTTTGATATTCTTATTCAATTCCAGTAATAACGGCTTGCCTTGTGTTGGGACTTAAGTTTGGTCTTTCACGATCGTTTCTTGTCAAAATGTTTTCCCTCTCTACCATTATTTTTTTAAACCGGATCTTTATGTGAGGTCTTGAAATGAATGGCAATGAAAAACTTAATCTTTAGTAAGTGTTTTCAAAACGACAATTGACGTTTAAAAAATCGATATTGGACGCTTATTTCTGGGCGGAGGGAGTAATTGACAAGAAATTGACACATCATACATAGATTAATTAAATAAAGAAATAGTTACTTACGTTATAAGCCTGGTAAACGACTTATAACAGTAGAACAGAATTATTTATTGTGGAGGAGGCGACGAAGAAGACGAGTCTGGAATATCTAAACAAGTACTGTTTAAAAGTTTTAAAATGTATCATACATTTTATGTCATACTGTCAAGTCTGGTTAAACAGCAATTACAGTGTAAAACATTTAATTATGTCATGTAATTTTGTCACCTTTTTTTCTATGGCAACAGTGTTGCTGCTCATTATATTGATGATGTAAACATCACAGTAAATAACTTACCTGATAATTTTTATTTAATTCAGTCTTCCAGAGACACATAACATTAAAATAAACTTTACATTTTAAATACAGACTTTCAACTTTCACAAACATTAAAATAATAAAAATAAAGCTTATTAAAAAAAATTCATGTGGTGTAAACTAGGAAAAACTTATCAATACTAAATTATTTTTACCTTTCTATAGCATCAACCACATATCCATCAATAATTTGAACATTCATACACCAATTGATGATAAAGGGCCGATAATCGAAACCACTAAAAATTATATTTAAGGATAAAATATTGTTATTCAAGAAGCATAATAACGAAAAGACATAAATAAAAGCAGCCCATTTAGTCCCATTTTAGTACCACTCTGTACCAATGCCCAAAAAACAAATTGAGACAAAGTTATAACAACACAAAAAAAGCAAGGATACATTTTGTTTCCAGTCATTGTAACGCAAGGATTTCCCGCAATGGAAATGCTATTTAAATTTTTCAAGTTAACAAGCTGTGAGATTTCGTTTAAATCGGAGATGTTGTTCGAGGCGAGTGTCAGTGTTATTAATGAAGTTGGTAAAAAACGATCGCATTGCCTTAAATGGCCGATTTTGTTATTGTGAAGCAAAAGTTCCTGAAATTTTAAGGTTAAATGAAATAAAAACGAACCACACCCAGTAATTAAAAATAAATGGTGGTGTTAATTACCCTTAAGTTTTTTAAAAAAGACAGATCCACAATGTGTGTGATGCTATTTTCACTTAAGTCCAAGTGTTCAAGGTTTACATTTGTATTTAGGTGCTCAATAGTCTAAAATTATTGAACATATTAAATATAAATGGGACACAAAAAAAAAATCAATACACACTTTAATGTTATTTTTTGCTAGATTTAAAACTCTTAAATGAATCAAATCTTTTAAACCTTCGATAGTTAAAATGCCATTATTAGCCAAATTTAAGGTATGTAAAGATTGCAATCTGCAAACTTGATGCATCCGTAATAATTGATTTCTAACAGCAGAAAGCTAAAAAAACGGAGGTTATAATATCACAGAAAAAGATATCCTTATCACATATTTACATACTTTTTGGACCTTTGTATAAGAGTCTATGTTATCCAGTCTTTGTAATTCATTTTCATCTAGTATTAGAGTAGTAATGTGCGAGTCGTGGAGCTGGGGTTTGCTTAGCTTTTTAAGTTTTTTGCCCGACAGGTTCAACGTGTCTGAGTTATCTACAATGAGGTTAGTAGAAGCAATTCCGTTAGGAAAAGAAAGTTTTAAACGGGACATTACCCATTTGCTCGTTACGCCATATATTTTTAAACCGATTAAAAGTGAAGTTGTTTATTTTTGTTGAGTAATTGTCACTTTTGACGCTTTCACTACGTTTGACAGAACTCATATGACACCACAGGCATACCAACAACATCGCATAAGAAATAACTAGGCCATATTAAGTTTTTTGTTCAAAACGAATATTATTTAAATACATTTATTTAACAAGCTGATTTGTTTTTGATGTTGGCTTCATTATGTAAAGAATGCAGATGAAGATGGGTTAAAATTGATTTAATTATGAAAACTTAAATAAGTAGTGATTTTTCTTTAGGTTACCATTCCTGTCAAAATCGTGATAAATATGGAACGATTCGCAAGTGAAGATGACTTCATTTTTCATTAAACTATACACGCGAATATAAAAGTTGACGCAGCGGGATTCGATTTGCTGTGATTGTGGTTGTTCTGCGCGAAAAATGAACGTTAAGTTAGTGTCCTAATTAGTTCGGTTAATTACGACTTTGTCTCGCGTTGGCGATAAAATCCGAGGGCAAAGTTTCCTTGCTCGACTTGGACTGTGCTACTACAGCAGTCCCCGATTGATTTTTAACCGTTCTTAGACGACTAATTCAGGGTAAAGTGTAGCAAAAGAACCCGTCAAACTGGAGCGCCTACCAGAATACTTACGTGACACTGTGGATTGGTTTATGGGGTGAGTTTTAAAACCACCTTCAGGAGAAATTCCACCTTTGAAAATGCCTTATTTCCCTTCTCCGCTCAGTTTTCCGATAATTAAACGTAGGACGGTTGCGAATCTATTTGTTAAAAAAAATATTTTAACCTCCATAACGACATTAGTACTAATTTAATTAGGTATCACATATTCCTGATGTAATGTGGTTAAACAAAAGTATTGGAAAACTGAGATCGGATTCTCCAAGATCGTTACTTCCCCTGGATGCAGAACAGACAATCAGTTGCTTCTGCAGGTGTGTACAGATTGATTTTAGCACAACCCTTGGTATTTTTTTGTTTATAGAAAAGCCAGACGGAAGGAGAGGGAAGGAAACGATAATTCAAGCAGTGGTGACAATAAATTGTACTTAGAAGCTCCTGTACTTGAAAGAAAACTGCCTGAATTGGATATGAAGGTTTTAGTTGATTTACCAGCTGGTTTAGACTACAATGAATGGCTTGCATCGCATAGTAATACCAATAAGATTTTTTTTTTATTCTATTTTTGTGTTAATTCAAACTAATTTACAGCTATGGCCCTATTTGATCATGTGAATTTAGTCTATGGCAGTGTTAGTGAATTTTGTACTATGACAGGGTGTCCTGATATGACTGGACCCAGTCAAAGGTAATTATAATTTTTATTATTAAGAAAGAATCAAATTTCATCCTTAATGCCATCCTTATTCCACAAATTAAAACAATTTAGAAAGTTTTTTGGCAAAGCATGGTGAAATGCTTCTTAAAACCCCATTTCTCAGCCAATATTATTTCAAAAAAATCAATTTAGACTAAGTCTTTTGGGTCTGGTGGCAAAATGCGGATGTTGAAATGCCCGATTTGAAATATTTAAGGATACAGAACACAATTAATTGGTTGTGAGGTTCTCTTGTTATAATCAAAGTACTATACATGTAAAAATCGTATATAATTGGGTTCTAAAAAAAGTTTGGGACTAACTTTGCATAGGTTTAATTATGTGCAGAACTACCTGATCCATTTCTACATTGGTTGGTGTCAGGGTTCGCCTGATTTAAATCACTTGATTTAAAACACAATTTTAATCAATGATTTAAATTAAAAGAAAAATGAAAATAAATATATTCTTTATGTAAAAACTGGTAAACCAGGTAATTAAAAACTAAGCCAAACAAAAATAATATATAAATAAACACAAAAAGCAAACAATACTTAGGAATTATAAAGTTTATATGAAAATAGTAATTTTCTGGCTTTTTCTACATTGGAGTAGACGAGCCCAAATGTTGTGAAGACGCCTCTCTATTGAAGCTGAAGAACAAACAACACATAAAAATTGTTTTAAAGTTGAAAGAAATTTGTCAATATCAGGAAGGTTCTTTTGTGAAATCTACCACTGCAAAGCAGTAGCAATGGATATAACTTCCTTGCAGAAAACGAGTTGTTTTAGTTACATTTAAAATAAATACAATTAAATGTAAGGGGTATGTGCCTGTTTGTATTTCTGATAAATTTGTATTTAAGACTGTGATAATTCCAATTTTTCGTCAAATGAACTTTCCAATTTCTTCCACACTTCTACAGCATCATATAGAGAAGCACCTTTTTTGCAATTTGTGAAGTTCCCAGGCTATTGGCTTTAAGATATTTAAGTAATCTTCTACAGATTGTTTGGGATCAATATTAGTGTATATTGTAGGATCAATTTCCTTTTTATTTTCTTCACATACTTTTGACACTACATATTATTTACAACTTTTCCATCACTATATACAAGCCATATACTTAGATCTAGCCACGTGATTGTTTCTAAAATATTTCATCATTTGGATCACAACATGCTCTTTGACTTTAGTTATTTCATGCTTAGTCTTTGCAAAGCAAATTTAGAAAGTGAGCTGAGCATCTATAAGTTATAACAGAACCACTAAAGCTTAAGCTTCTGGTCTATGTCTTCTTATACTTGTCATATTCACAGCATATCAGTCACAAATGACGTTACATTACAATTATATTTCGCTTTACAAAATGAAATTATTCCATAAGCAATTTTTGTTAAATAGATCAAGAGTAGTATCAAGATTTTTTTTAAATCAATGATTTTTGATTAAAATTGTAGATTGAGTGTGGTAGGCAGGATACAATTTTCAATTTAATTGTTTCAAAGTTTGCATTTCGTTTCTTGCCAATTCCGGTTTTCCAGATCTAAATTTGTGGTGGTTTCAGATTCGTTATGTTTTCTTCTAAGTCAGTATGTTTTAGTTTATTTGCAAATTCATCACATCTTCCATAGCTACAATTAAATATGGTGCACGAAAATATAAGTTTGAAATGTTTATATTTATATTGGGAGCCAAAGATATACCATTAGGATGTATAAGATTTGTTTTTAAGATAAGAAGCGGTAGATAGAAATAAACTTAATAAAAGCACTTCGTTTTTAATTAATTGGTACTCAATCGTAATTACTACAACGGTTATCTAACAGTGCTACTTGGACTGCTCTAGTATCAAGGAGAGATAGAAACTTAATTGCTTTAATACTTAATGCTTTACTTAATTTTTATCTGGAAACAATCAAAAAATTTGACTATTATTTCTGTTTCTAATGATTATAATGCTGAAGTTAAGGTGCTTGTCCATTGTTAAATTTCTACCTGAATTTCCAATTGGCGTTATTAATCATTTTGCACAACATGAGTAGGTGAATTAGAAATTTCACAATAAACTTCAAAGTTGCGGGTATAAAAATGATTTGTCATCGGATACTAAATAAAATTTTATATCATATTTTGGCAAGATTGTCTGATTACAATTGTTATTGAAAATTTGTCAATTGGCAAATCGAAATGAGGGTCAACTTGTGTAACCTTGATTTACATCCTAACCTAGTCAAGGTGTGCAACTTTATTTCAACTTTCATTCCTCTATATAATATTACGGTTCAGTTCGGTTTGTCACTTTGTATTCTGGGCTGATCATTTCAGTTTGAGTGTTCTAAATAACCTGTATCATTGTTAATTTTTGTGAGAATTACAAAGATGCCTAATCAAGCTGTGGTTGACTGGCAAGGATACGATATCCCTCATTTTGAGGTGAGATATTTGTTAGACACAAACTTTATCTTTGTGCTACATGAAAACATACGTGTTAGTGCACCCAGAGATGGATTGCCAATATCACAACGACATATTTTCTGGAGAGTAACCACCACAGATTACCGTACTATGGTGGCTTAGTGTCGCAACCAAAAGGATTAGAAAAAATTAAGGGTGTTGTAAAGGAGTACGATATTATACAGCCTGTTCTGAATCAAGCGAAATTAAGCAATTAAAAAAATTTAATAATCCTCATTTAGAAAAATGCGACATGTTAAAGTCTTATTAGGTGTTGAGAAAAAAATGTGGTGAAATGTATCCAGAACGTGATCAACCAGACAGACGGTATTTTCTTAAGTTATCCAGAAGATTTCGTAGTAATGAAAGAGTCTTTGTGGAAACCAGAACTCAAAAACAATTTATTATAAATGAAGAAACAGAAGTCAATGTTTTGGCATATTTCGAAACGCACAAAACCAATTCAGTCAGAGATTTTGGAAAAGTGGTTTAAAATTATGTACAATATGGAGAATTCTAGAAAAATATAAATTTGTGCCCAATAAATACCGACCAGTGCAAACATTGGTGACACTGAAAGGAGGCTAATCTTTTGTCAATAGATCGCAGGTATGTGTAGGCAAAATGTGAACTTTCTAAGATGCATTTTGTGGACTGCATTTGTGGCAAATTTTCACGTTTCAAATAGAGAAAAAATATGCACTATTGGTCTCGTGAAAATTTATTTATTGTTCATCCCAGAAATCCTCAAATACAATTTATATTTATTAATGTGTGGTGTGGTCTAATAGCGAGTCAAATAATTCGGCCAATTGTCTATGAAGGCACATTGAGGAAGGAGATACGTTGATATGTTTCGGAATTTCTGGAAACATATTTAGACAAAATGAAGCTGCTCCCTATCAGTTTCGTGAAGTGAGAGTGTTACTAGAAAGGCTTTTTCAAAATAGGTGGATACCGCACAATTTGGACCATTGTTCACCTGACATAACTCCATTGGATTTTTACTTTTGTAGTTATATCAAAAACGTTTAAAAGCTATAAAACGTGTAATAAAGAATGTCCAAAAATGTATTGAACAAAACGGTGATGTGTTTGCACATCTATTGTGAATTTCTTCTGTTTAAATAAAATGAAAAAAGTGAACTCGAATCTTATTTCACAGCCATTTACAGTGAACTAGGCTAATATGAAACTAAGCTGATAATTCCGTTATTTTCAATTTTATTTATTTACAATTTATGGGTACAGAAACAGGACAAACCCAAATGATCTGTACCACGAAAAAAAAAAATTACAATAAAAAAAAGAAGGAAAACAAGGAAAAATGAATAAAGAAAAAATCAAAATTATCAAAATTAAGGCGAGGAATTAAAAATAAAATTAAACATAAACTAAAAACACTGGAATTCAAATATTATTATATATATACAAAAAGATGATAAAATAAAATAAACAATGCCTAATAGTAATAGTAACGGCTAAATTAAACATTATACAAAAACAGCACCAACGAACTACCAAAATGTAGGAGGCAATTCGCTGACTGCATTAAAAAGTAAGCGCTTAAACGTAAAAATGAATGCTGAAACAAATGAAAGCGAAGAATATGGGGGGAGGTACATGAATATTAACCGAATTCAAAAGAACTGTGAAACCACACATAATGTGTAAAACCTTGTACAAGAATAATACATAAGCCGATATTGCAGAAAAAATGCTACTACTTTACTTATTTAACCGACTTTGTAACTCCACTAATAACAAAGTTATCAATGGTGCGCACTTAATTTAGAACAGACTGTATACACCAAAGGACATTAAAAGAAAACTTTCTTACAGCAACTCCTTGAGAGATGTGAGAAGACACTCATAGTTGATGCCAAGGAGAAAATCATAAATTATCTGTTCTTCTTATTTTCGTTCCTTATTGATTTATCATCAAATTGGTGAATTCGCCATAAAAATAAGAAATGTTTATAATCCATTATTGCTGTAAGTGTCTGAATGCCCTAACATATCCATTATGTCTACATGGTCGTTTTTTCATAAAAATCAAGAAAAATATTCCAAACGGACACTAAAACAGAAATGAAGCCTTCACCAATACTAAGTTTGAAGATCCTATTCAAACAATTAATGCAGTTTCTTCATGCCTTTTTCCATAGAAAAAGATACTCAGATATATAGTAAATCGAAATTTAATATATATAAGTTATTTATATATATTATATAAGTTACTTGATTGAAAACATTATTGTCGCAAAGATTGAAGCTTCAGGTTTTGTTGGGCTTTATTTCAGGCCAATATTGTTCTCCCCCCCCAACTAGTATGCGATCCCACTCCATCGTACTTTATTGCCGTTCTATTTGCTTCCCCCCTAATCTTCTCTAGCTTCAAATCCTCTCCAATATCTCTCCTCTATCTGTTGCACAATCTTGCGTTTCTTCCAACTCATAAAACATTTTGTTTCATCTGCCCAAATCTTTTCCGAATATTCGTTGGTTTCCTCCAGTTCCATATCTGTCCTAATAATCTACTTGGCTTTCTCCCTCAATTAGAATTGACAAATGAATTTTTATTATTTTAATTTTATAAATAAAAAGTATTTGCTATATACTTTTTGTTATAGAACTTATCTATGGTTTGATGAGAAAGGCAAAAAAACTAAAGTAGCCGCCCCACAGTACATAGATTACGTAATGACCTTCATACAAAAGACTATAAGTGATGAGAATATATTTCCTACTAAATATGGTAAATAATTAATTTCAACCTTTATTTATTAAATAAGTTGTTTATAAAAAATATTTGAATTTTTAGCTAATGAATTTCCCTCTTCCTTCGAGTCAATAGTTAGAAAGATAGTGAGACTGTTATTCCACGTGGTTGCGCATTTATATGCGGCCCATTTTCGAGAGGTTGTTCTCTTGGGTTTGCACGCGCATCTAAACCTAACCTTTACGCACCTAACATCTCTTCACCATCGATTCTCGTTAATCGAACCGAAAGAGACGGAAGTGTTACGCGATCTCGAGATTGCACTTCGACTTACGGACGATGGCAGTAATCAAGAAAGTACTTCCGGTACGGATGGCGTAGATTCCGGTGGTATTGATAACGCGGAATCCGATAACAGTAAAAGTCAATCGGAGGAAGCAACTGGTATGTATTTCGAGATTTAAACTTAAGGATTATTAATTTTTTTTTGTGTTTTGTGGCGTCTTTTTGTATTAATTTAGTAGTGTTGTTTTTTTTGTGTAATTTTTTTTACGTTTAGCTTAATTTTAGAAATATAGAAAGACATAGAAAAATAGAAAGAACACTACTGAGAATTACAAGTGTGTTTTTTGTCCTTTTTGTGTGTTTTATTTTTTTAATTATTTATTTTGCTAGTTTAATTTTTTTTGGTTTTGTAATTTTCAGATTTTTTTTCTGTGTTTAATATATTCTTTAATAACAGAAGAGTGACAAAACTGAAAGAACTGAAGGGAGATAATTTTTTAGGTGGCGAGCAAAAGTCGTAGTTAAATACAACAGCGTGTGGCTACTAGAGAGAGTAAATTATCCTAAAAACCGCAAAACGAAAAAAAAACTTAAAAATCTAAACTAAATGCAGCTTGCACTTTTTCTCTTTATTATTTTCTTTGTGTTTTTTTGTTATCGTAAGAAAATAACGTTGTTTAAAGTTTAAAGCAGGCTGACCTCAGAGTTATAAAAAGAAAAAATTAAAAAAAAAAAATACTAGAAAATTTATCCACTCGTAGCTGTTAGTGCAATGTGATTTTAAAAACTGAGACACTATAGTGACTTCCGTTTTGAAATAATTATTGTTTTTCTCTCCGATTGTGTCCGTATTTAGTGATATAATTTATTAATTAATTAGTTAACATTGACGAGAAAACACGTTTTTTAAACACATTATTAATTAATTCAAGAGTTACAAAAAAATAGTAATCAAGCCAATTAAAAAATTAACTAGGTCAAACTGTGAAAACAAAATGTACTTTATGCTGTTAAAAAAAATATTTACAAAGTCGTATTTTAGTACTTAAAAGCATTGCAAATTTTGCATTTTCATTTAAAAATTTCCTTTCTCCCATCAATAAAAGAAAATCTACCCAACACCTAAAGATTTCCTTCGCCTTCAATTTGTTGTGTACAAAAAAAATTTGATCGGAAATGATGTGTAATAAGTACGTTTACGACAGCGCTTTCACTTATGAGAGTGCCATTCGAACAATTCCTTGTACAGTGTTGAAAAGAGAAGAGACAAAAAGATTCAGAGTTGCTAAGGGTGTATATATTATGATGTAAAATAAGATTTAAAAAATGAATTTTTAGTTTTTATTTATTAGAAAATTACAGTAAAAAAACCACTAGTTTATAGTATTGTTGAAGAATAAAATCACCTAATGTTACACTAATTTTTTTTCTTTTACTTCTTAAATCCTTAATATATAAAAAATATACAATAATTATTTTTTTCTCCTTATTCTAAATCGCCGACAGGGTGCTCTATTTAATTTTGGTTTGTTATTGGTGTTGTTTTTAACCTCGACCAATCTAATCGATCTACAAACGTTAGCCACTTCCCGTAGAAAATAACCGACTCCTTCCGCAACTGGGTCACACAAATCCCGCAAAGAAGTGAGTATGTTAAAAAAGAAAATCGCTGGAGGTTGAATAATCGCGTTAAAAACCACCGATAAACATGGTTTAAAAAAGTAATCGGATGTTAATTGAAGTAAACCGATTGTTAATGGTCGAATTAAACTTTGCAGAATAAATCTGATAAAGAAAAAAAAAAAAAAGGATTAAAAATTATATTTGAACTTAACATCAGATAGCAGAGTAATTTTAATTGTTTTATTTAATATGCTTTGTTAGTTGATCAGATGGTAAAAATGTTTGATTAAGGTCATGTTAAATCTGAAATGTCTTAAGTTCAATTTACACCTTGCAGTTAATGAAAAATAATGAGAAATGAGTCGTTTCTGCATTTTACAACCTAATTAAACTAAAACATACAAGAGAACATCTGGTAAGAAGTATTTGAACGTTATATAAATATCTAACTGTCTTCCAGCATGTTTTGCAACTTTTAGTTTTAAATGATTGATTAATGTGATTATGAAGAAAATAAATTGAATTTAATTTTTATAACAGTGGACAAAATTCTAATTCAATATTAACGTTTTTCAAATTCCCACTAGGTGTATTTATTTCAGAATCGACTTGACACATTTTCTCGAATCAAGTTCGTACTTTTCTCTTGCCCTCATTTATACCTTACGGTGTTGGGTTTTTTTATCCATCTTTAATACATATTTCTATCTCTGGCCTTACTCCGTACTTCGGCGAGTTTCCTCCCTCTTCTTTCAACCATCTTCTCAATCTCTCCCTCCCAATAGGCTCTTCGTCTACCACGCTTTCTCTTTCCTTCTGGTCTCATGTTCAACATTTTCTTAGGTATTCTATCTTCTTTCATTCGAACCAGATGACCATATCAACTAAGTTGTTTTCCCTCTATTTCGTGTACCAGGAGATTTAAGCTAATTTCTTCTCTGATGTTTTTGTTCCGTATCCCATCTCTTCTGGTTTTCCCCAATAATTTGCGTAGGTAATGTATCTCTGTTATTATTTTTGATTTGTGCTTGCCCAACATCATCAAAGTTTCTGATCTATAATTAAGTGTGGGTATGTAGATAATTATAATAATGGTGTTATTTATTTGATAGTAGACTGCACTTGCTTTTGCTGTTCTGTTGCGTATTTCCTGATCTATCTTTCCATCCTTATTTATTATGGTTCCAAGATATTCGTACTTTTCTACCACCCCCAGTCGTTACTCCTCTACTCTTACGTCAATATCTCCCCTTTCTTGTAGGCAGGTATTCCATATTTTTATGTTTTTTTTTATAGGACATCTACTCTGCCTGACATTAGTACAACATCGTCCGTGTAGATAAGGTCTCGAGTGTAGATCACGGTTAGGTTGTTGTACCCCAGTCCCGTCTGCGTAGTTTGTCTTTTGGCTTGCTTTATTATTCTGTCCATGCTACAATAGTAGTAGGCTTAAACTGTCACCCTGTTTCACTCCTTTTTCCATTCTGAACTCTTCTGATGTCTTTCCATTCAATCTAACCCTTCCCATTGTTATAGTATACGCTTTTGATTGCTCTTTTTAGTTTTGGACTTGCCCCCAGTTCACCAAGTTAAAGTTTCCCATATATGTTGTCTCAGTATCTGATCGAAAGCTTCTTTTAGGTCTAGGAAGACCAAATATATATCCTTATTCCTGTCCGTTGTTTTTTCTATTATTGTCCTGAGGTTGTACCTATTTTTGTCTGTTTGGCCCGAATGTCACTCTTTGGGTTTTTCTTGTATCTGGTTTCTCAGCCGTTCTTCTAGAATTTTTGAGTATAGTTTGAGCGCAACCGGCACCAAACAGATTATTCTGTAGTTTTCGCAGTTGGTTATTCTTGGTTTATATTCTTTTCCCACTCGTGGGGTATTGATTCAGTATTCCATGTCAGCTGGAATATTTTCCT